GGGAAGGAGGCAATGGCAAGCCACTTCTGAAATCTTGCCAAGAAAACTGCACGGACTTGTCCAGGCAGTTGCCAGGAGTCGAGACAGATTTGAAGGCACATGTGGACAAGCTAATGACAATAGGTAGAACAACCAGCCTTAGGATCGACAATGAAGATATCAAACTGGTGGAGAGCTTCTGCCTTTTAGGATCAGCCATCAACAATAAAGGAACCAGAAGTCAAGAAATATGCCACAGATTAGCATCTGGCAGAGCAGCCATGAAGGCCTTGGAAAAGATATTCAGATGCCGTGATGTGTCTCTACCTACAAAGATCAGAATTGTGCAAGCCATGCTATTCCCTGTGACACTCCGTGGAAGCAAAAGTTGGACTTTAAAGAAGCAGGATAGGAAGTCTGTGTGTGTGTGTGTGTGTGTGTGTGAGTGAGTACACACACACAATAAAATATAATTTTTATTAAAGACGTTTTTCCACAAAGTAAAAACAATACAAATTTTAAGTCAAAGATAAAAGAAATAGAGAACAGTAGTAGAACAATGAAAAGAAATAAAGAAAAAGTGATTGAAAAGAAAGGGGGGGGGGAAGAATAATAAAGAAGTGGCTTCCAATCTTCTTAAAAGCAGTTATTAATACATTTATATTTTACCCCCTCTCTCTAAGGTTGCATCAAAGTTTCCTTCCTTCCATAATCTACCCTTTCTAATCATCAGATCCATAAACCATCAGTTCATTTTTTTTCTTTTTTCAGCAAAAAGTCCGTAAGGGGTTTCCAGTCACTAATAAATGTAGTTGTAGATTTTTCTCTAAGCAAACAAGTTAATTTTGCCATCTCTGCATCTCCTTCACCAAGCAGGATAGGAAGAACTTTGGCGTTGGAGAAGACTCCTGAGAACACTGTGGATAGAAACAAACAGATTGTTGAACAGATCAACCCAGAATTCTCACTTGATGTACAAATGACCAAGCTCAAATGATCGTATTTTGGAAACCTTATGTGAAAATCCAATTCCCTTGAAAAATCCATCATCCTGGGAAAAGTGAAGGGAAAGACCAAAAGAGGACATCCAGCAGCAAGGTGGATGGACTCAATTACAATGGCGATGGGGGCACCATTGGAAGACCTGAAGGGTGAGATTGGAGACAGAGTCTCCTGGAGAAGGTCAGTTTACGTGGTCCCTAAGAGCTGACACCAGCTTGATGGTACATAAGCAAGTAATCAGGAACAAACTGGATTCTACTGGAATTCTACAAAAGGCATAAAAGGAGCAAGATAATATGAAATATTATTTTGCTCTCAGTATCAGTCTGGGTATAATTATTATAGGCAATTGACAACATGAAGGACAAGCACTGACAGACCATTGACAGAAAAGGGAAAAACATGCCAACCCCTTTGGAACCACTTGTGTACAATAACTGAAGCATTTTGACAGAAGTGAAGTAATACACATGACTGCGTAAAAAGTTTATCTGTCCCTCCACTCCACTTCACTTACAGATTGGAAAGTGGTATCTTAACTTTTAGCTTTTAACCTGAAGATTTAATATAAAAATATCTTGCCCCTATTTTCTTTCAGATTAGACCCAAGTTGAAGACCAAAAAAAGCTTCCTCGCAGTCATAGAGAAGATGTTGTAAGATTTGTGTGCAGCCACAAAGTGTTTTGCTACTCATTAAGAAGTGTATGAGAAATCCGAAATGAAGAGATCTTCCTTATGATGGCCACACAGACTGTTTTCCATTTATGTAGGAAGGGTAAATCTCATTTGAACTAATTCGCCCATGTAGACTTACTGTTAGCTTCTAAGGTGAAAGGTTCTGTTTGGACATATTTGGGCTCCCTTCCTGAAAATAACGTTTGAAAAATTTCCCATTGAAAGGAATATTGCATAATTGTAGTTAGTTTTTTTAAATTCTTCTGTTCATTCTTGTGACTGAATTGAAGACCAGTCTCAAACTGAAAGCGAGTAAGGTAAAGGAAAAAGAAAACAAAATGACAACAATCACTTTCCAGGGATTTCATAATTTCTGCACTGACTTTATGAGATGTGTGTTCTAGGAGAACAGGACGAACAACAATCTTTTCATATCTATGAAGTTCCAACAGGCCAGTGGCATGCAACTGTCTGTGATCAATGCTACTAAAATATTTCAAGTAAAATATAAATCTAAAGCATTAAAAAAGCATAGAAAATTGATTGTTCAGGTTTGTTCCTCAGGACTTTTCACTCAGGAGATGATTAATAATGGCAGAGACTCTTCGGCCAAAGATAACTTGTTTTCCCTTGCAACACGCTGAGTCTGAATATTTGGTGCATCCTGTGTAAGCGAAAGCCGATGACAGAGCAGAAGGTGCTGCAGATCTGTTGTTCATGTCCAATAGTTTTAACACACGTCCCCAAGGAGCTTGCTAGCAAATGCAGAAGGAGGAGACTCCACCCACCGACCAGTGTGGTGTTGTGTTGTGTTGTGTTGCTGAGAAAGGCTCCATTTTTCCTGCATTCTCTTTGGTCAATATTGTCTCAACACTCCCCATTTGATGATGAGTGTTTGGGTTGCTGGAGGAGAAGGTTATTGTTTTGATGGCATTTATGTCAACCTAGGAATATTCCTAAATTCTTCTCAGTCCTTAATGGTCAATTAAGGAGGCTCCATATCTTCTGTCTGTCTGTCTGTCTGTCTATCTCAGATGCTCTCTTTTGAACTGGGATTTGGATTAGAGACGTAACACCAGATGCATTGACTCTAATACAGAATGTGGTAGCACAGCAGCTGGTGAGTGCCAACTGTTTCAACAGACTGATGCCAGTGTGGTGGGCACCACACTAGCTGCTTCTGTGTACCTGAGTCCAGTTCAGAGTTCTGATAATTATCTACAACGCCTTCTATAGCTTATCTCTAAGACCTCCTGCTCCATGTAAAATCTGCCTGTCCTATGTTGTCAAAAGCAGGAAGGGATGCTCTGCATTCCTGCCCCCCAGGAAGTCAGGAGGCGGGGGTGAAGAAGCAGGCCTTTTCTGTCACTGCCGTAGACCCATGGAACCGTCTGCCACCTGACGCTCGGTTGGGTCTCCCTACCTTCTGGAAAGGCATGAAGATCGTATTTTTTCATTGCACCTTTAGAGTGAAAAGTTTCTGCTGCCCTTTTTAATTTAATGCTGTGTTTTAATCATTTTCCCCATTTGTTTTTATTATTTATTTACGCTGGTCTTTGGCTGTAACGAAGATTTGATTTATTTATTGTTTCATACTGTTGTGAGCCACCTAAAGTTTTTTGATTTGACAGATTAGGAACGAAATAGACCAGTGTTTTGACACTGGCAATGAAAAACACTGAAACAGACTTTCCCCAAGAGGCTTTCTCTTCTCTTCTCTTCTCTTCTCTTCTCTTCTCTTCTCTTCTCTTCTCTTCTCTTCTCTTCTCTTCTCTTCTCTTCTCTTCTCTTCTCTTCTCTT